TCAAGCATTACATACCTTGCTAACTTAAAGTCAGACTCTACCAAATTGTACAGATATGTTGCAGTACTGTTATAAACTATGCGTAACACATTAGCGTTCGACTTTGGGTTCTACGTTAAGATACTAAGCCTTCGTAATTATTAACAAGCATCAGAACCGCAGAAAAATTTTAGTACTGCACAAGTATATCGTTTTACAGTGAGTGAGCACTGAGTCGCAGATGAGACAGCATTCGTGCTAAAGAGTAGCATATGAAGTGCGAAATACTAACTGCACTATCGAAATATTACATTACGTATGTTACTGTCCCGAAGGCAACCCTTCTGTACCACTATCGATACATTACTACTGTGGATTTTGACACACACTACTGACATAAGTAGCGTGTACTAACATTATACACCATACGCAGCACTGAAGTAACAGTTGCACTATTACAACATTGTTGCATGTGTTACTGTCCAGAGGATAATTCGTCTATACCGGTATAGACTAGTTTATATTGCTATGGATGGTTTACTAATGTGGTAACATACACTACTAACGATACTAGTGCACTTACTGATGTTATATATCATATACTGCATGCGCAGCAATACAACTAAGTACATATGACAAAATACTTTAGTACTGCTCATTTATGCGCCATAATGATTAAAATATTGTGCGTATGATATTGCATATTATACACTGGCGTAGAGCAATGTAGCTTTCAATAATATATATGGTAGCTGGTGCGAACGTGATGACAAATGACAAATATGCTTTTCCCAGAAGAATTACGTTTGGGCATAGTCTTTCTAACGTTTGGTTTCGAATGAAAACAATGAACATAAACTTGCTGCTTGATCATCAAAATATAACAAACTTTTTCTCGTGTCGCCGTTCTTCAGCATAAAGGAAAACATATTAATCGTTATTAGATTATTATCAAACGGTATATATTGCTGAGTGTTGTCGTACGCAAGAACTGCATACATGAGTTAGTGCTCAAGTGCACTTTTACACATAGTTCGTGCTGGTGTTATGCAACACTGCACTTATGGTGGAGGACTACTGAAAAACACCAGGCTATTTTACTCCATACGCTATGCATGCCGTATAGGCAACAAACAGTATATAAATTATTCAATGCCATTATATGCTGCTAACAAATAACACAAAATTTCCTTTACAATATGAGTAACATTATATAGCGTATGCTACCTATGTAATATTACGTATATAGTACATGTCATAAAATACGCTAGTAATACTCCATGACAACTACAATGATCCGTAGTACCAGTATGCCAGTACTAGCACAAACTATACATGACGCAGAGTGTCAGAGCACAGTAACACTATTTGTATATGACGTGCAAAGGGACAATGAAAAAAAAATGAATTGCGTTATTCGCTAATCACACGAATGACATCACATTGACATCTTTCTGCAACATTTTTGGGGTTTCGAATAAACACTATGGAAATGAATCAAGTCAATTACTTCAATGGTCAAAATCAGACAAATGTGACCAAAGAGTACCATCCTGACGTCAGTGCTCGTAGTTTAAGTCTACTACAGTATACAAAGTATACTGCATAAATTATTCTGTTAGTACTCATCAGCAGTTGATGCTGCGTATAGCACTGTGCGGCATCAGTATATTATCATACATAAGTATTCACATCTACATATGAATAAATTTACGAGAACGCAATTGCTTGTGCAAAACTTCACGAAAACACAAGCAAGTTCAAAATGAAAAATAGAGGATAAGCGATGCGCTGTAACTGAAGTTATTCACGGCAGCCTTAGGAGAGGTTTTCAAGACGATTCTTTGGGACAATCAGGGTGATGTGATAAATGCGCACTATTTAAGCCACCGGCAGTTAAAGGACGATACGCCGAGAAGATAACTCACAGGAAGATTTCCATAGCTGAACTACGCCAGCGTAACAGAAAATGAACCTGAAGAATCCTCAGGCAATGTGTAACAAATACGTGACCGCATGACCTCTCAAAAAAGTGCAAAACCACATGTGTCTGAGACATATGGTTCCTACAACGGAGAATGAACAGCATCAATTCAACGCAAGAATAAAAATGGTGTCAGGCATGTTTAAAAAGGAGCATATTTGATAGGTGTGCACTTCCAATGATACCTTATGAATGCCAAATGAGTAGCCTATGTCTGAAATCTATTCAGAACGCAGCAAGGAAAGATGCTGGAATCTTAGATACAAGGAATTAATCAGAAAAAAACAGGAAGACGGACTAATGAATACGAGTACAAACAAGACTTTGCGATATCACTGCCTGAGGAAAATAGCAGAAATGGCAATGGGCAGGCCGCGTTGCGCGAAGAAACGACCATCATGGGACCAGACAGACAAATGAACTCGTGATATTTTGTCCGTCGTTAAAACACACTACCCAGCGATTGAACACAGCTCCTGGCCAACAGAAAGAGAAACGGCGAATAATGGCAAAACACTTACGTCCCGTGGCACCATTCTTGAATGCATAGCTACAACCAGGTCTTAAGCAATGGTAGTGAACACAAAACAAATTCTTGGCCATGAACGGACAGTAGCGGAAATGGCACAATTCGTCGGCGTCGGTCTTCTTGAAGTCGTTGTGCAGGGGCGATGGAGGCTGCAGCGGGTTCGGCGGCCGATGATGACTAGAGGCATGCAATTGCACGCTCGAGAAGCTCGTGCACACCTTGCTGCAACGGTTCTACAAAAAAAGATGAAAACTATCGCTTGAAAGACAAAAATGACTTATACAGTTTTTCAGCATTACAAGGCGCACGTTCATCGAAGTCTCTGGAACATGGAAGCTTCTTACTCCTAAGCGAGCGATCCAAGCTGCATACGTGTCCTTAAAACAGTACTCCTCCTACAGGATGTTCATTTCGTACTTCTACAGAATACAAGGCCTAATCTCGCACTAGGTCTTTGTCTACCACCGTGTGCTGATTACCGCGCAGCGCAGCGTTTAGAGACAGACTAAGGTAGTATAGGTAAGAAAAAAATGGTGGAGTTGATCAACGGCTAGCCGTGTACAGTAATCCGACGATGAACGTTAAAAGATGCGATAGAAAAGTAAACTAATTTGGATATGAACAATTCAAGTGTCAAGACTGCGCTTATTTCCTACACTAATTCGCTCAGAAACTTGTTTCGCTCAACCGGATACAAAACCTGACATTAAACAGTTGCAAATAAACTTTCAGGTTACCGTCTCCAGATCCACTGCTCTATTGTCACGCAATTTTGGTTCATAACGCGCATAGCATGCACGAAGCAAGGTTCACTGAGGCATCCCACCGATTCTTCACTGCTACATGATTAGAGGTCGGCTAGAATCCGTATGCGCTTTATGATTCTGTAGTTAGAAGCAAGAAAAAAGAGAAATCCATGTTAATTTAGAAAGAACTGATATTTCGACCGAACCGATATCCATCATCAATGAAACAAAATCGCCACAGTGACTGTCCGTGGCAGTTCGGTCGAAAAAAGGATCAGCATTAGCAAAACACGGTTTTTTCTACTTTCGTGCTGCTAACCATTCAATCCGAAAAATATCTGCATGTACGGTCATCCACGGCAGGGCATTAGCATGGAGTAGTGTTTCACAGATGCACTTATTCCTATTTATACCACAAAGCACAAGGATGAGAAACGAAAGAGAAATGAGTCGTCATTCAATTCATGAGTCGTCATTAATGACATGATTATGGCAATGAATAATGATCCCAAGTAATGATTCGTCACAACTGGTAGCGATACGCCGACATTCTTAATGAACGACAGATTTATGGCTGACACATAGTTCAAAATTTTCTTGTCAACACATTGCTACGCCGGTTATCATGCACATATCATCAAAATATAATTCGTTGACTGCATCGATACCATACTATGATCATTCTACAGTACGCAACGGCACTGCTAGTTTTACTTGCCGTTATTTAATGTCCTCTGAAAATAGATCCAACCTGATGCGAAACGCTAAGATTCATTTAAATGAATTTTATATGCGCTGTAAACCCTCTGAAGATTATAACGATTTTCATCCTTATATGTCATATGACTACAGGCACATCAAGCTGCACATAATCGGTTAGGCCAAGTGATGTAGTGCCAAATTATACAGTACATTCAGACTTTACAAGCGCTATGAAAAGATATCGAAGACGACCGGAATGAAAACGCTCCCTGAAGAAATCACGGATCAACGACTGTCGTGGAATCACAGAACCGTCCAGAAAGAAAGAATGGAGCCTTATCCAAAACTATTCCCCTCTAGGAAGTAAAAAATGGCTGTAGTCGCGTCGAAAGCCAACAACGCACCTTAAAGAGGCTGCTAGAGGAGGATTTACTTCCGATGAAGAATATGACTATTGTCACAGCAACAAAAATCGCCTAAATCATTCCGAGAAGCAAAAGCGTCAGTCATGATTAATCTGGGTACTGACTCTGTCCTTGACCCTGATACTGCAGATGACGATGACAATAAAGACTATATGCCGTGATGATATCACTGGTGTTCGAGTGGAACGCAGGTGAAAGAATTTTTATCATCAGCATTTTTAGTTTCCCTCAACAAATGTAACAACAGATCAGTTGCAGTCTCCTAACAAAACACCCAAAATCGAAAACGGCATATGGCATTTGTCGAGAATTCGTCGTTACTAATATCACAGCTGCGAGCTGTGCTATTCTGTTGTTCAAACCGTTATCCTCAAACGATCACGAAAATAAAGTTTATCTTACACATACCTCTAAACAGTGGTAGTGAGTTTGCACCATGTTGTAAGCACAGTTTCTGCGTAGGCAGTTTTCGATGGCGGTGTACCTCGCAAAGCCGTTTGCCGACGATTCCT